TAGGATTTAAACATTTTACTTACTGTTGAATCCCACAGATTGTCTCTCTGTTCCCCAAAGCCTTTTGAGAAACACGTCTCACTCTTCTGTGATACGCAAATATCTGTTAAATGTATTAAAGAAAAGATACATATCGTTATGAAACTGTACATAGAAAGCTGTTAGATGATAAGTAATTTGTATCATTCATCATATTCTATGAGACATTTCAATCTATCTATTGCAAGAGTGCAAATTGTATATATATTTAATTGCTATGATGGAATTCTATGGTTTAATCTATGTGTACAAAGATATGTATGTTAAGATATTTTCCTAAGTGCACAATTACTAGTAACAGTTTTGATATAATATGTGCCAGCTTACTGTTGCAGGAAAATAGGATCTGCTTTAACAGGTCTAAGAAAATTATAATGGTTAGTCACCCCTACAAGTGTGTGCATAAAAAATGGATACTATATTGTTTTATACATAATTATATATATATATATATATATATATATATATATTATATATATATATATATATATATATTTGTTATATATCATATACACTGTATATCGGTTTTGGGCTAAATACAAATTTAGGCATGTTTTACAAGATGATTCTATCTTTATTGTCTTCACAGGAAATAATCTAATGGTATTGTAACTTGCAGTAATTTCACGGGATTTGGAAAGCACAGAATTAGACCATAATGGCTGCAGCAGTAATTTTTCAAACGACATTATAAAGTGTTTTTTCTTGAACTAAAGTATTATTTCATATTCAGTATTCCACTCTACATTTTGCTTGTGCCAATTATATATAGTCGTTCTAAAAGGAATTACAATCATTTCATGGAAAAGAGAGAGAGAGAGAGAGAGAGAGAAAAAAATAAAGCTTTGCGCACGTTATCCCTCGGCGATGAGGTCGGTTATGGTACTAAAATGTGATAATTGTTTATACACTTTTGGCGGTCTCGGCTCACCAGATTTTGGTGTTCGTCTTGTCAACTCTTATACTCATTTCGGAATAACTAAGATTGTATATGTGTTATGTTTTAAATTTCTCCGACGTGCCTTTGGTGTTGTTAAAGCCTTCTATAGAAAGAAATTAGCATCCTTTTAAAATGTGTTTGACTGTGACATTTATGAAATTGCATTTTGATGCTTATCGGATGGAATGAATAATTCCATGACTTATTCTGAAATAAAATGCAATTTATATGCAGAATTATATGTAGTGTATGACTATGATATTGTTAATGTTTTGACTTTTTTTCTGGTATCGATATTTAATATATGTTGTACCTACGTTTCCACACCATCAAGAAGATGAAAAAAATAAAAAGGCTACAGAAAATATTATTTGAACGGGTGATTTTAGACATGAAATTAAAAGAGACAAACATTGTATTAATATTTAGAAAAAATGCTCAGAAATATTCTAAATTCGAATGACAAGTGACAAATGGAATAAAGAGAGGATGAAAACCTGGTATGAAAATGGTGTTATATTTCTACAGTGTGGTTATAATGTTCATACCCCTTTCTGTATATATAACACTCTTTTACTGCATCAACAAGCTCTCTAATCAGCTAACAATACATTCTGAAACGTAGAACAAAATCAACATTCAAAGATATAAACAATTTTTCCACTAAACTACCCATTAGAAGGGAAAAGAAGTTGTTTAAAAAAAAGAGGAAAATTCTACTTAATGACCATTTTCCTTCGTATCTGAAACACCTGGAATTCGGGGGTAAAAAAGAGAACGATTCCCAAGTCTTTTAAACTCAGTGATCTGTACGTCTGTTACAAACTTGTAATGAAGCACATTTCACAAGCAGTCCTTTCATTTTCCTCTTAAACTACCTACGTAAATGGACGTCCCAAGAGTGGTACAATCTTAGGGAAAAGATTCGATAAATTCCAATAAAGAACTGCAAGTGTAAATCTCAGTGTATTTTGTGATGTTTCCAATACGGTTGCGTGGCGTTGCATAACCAGCAAAGCACGTGGATCTGATTCAACATTCTAGAGATAGATTTTGTTGCATGTGGTGTGTTTTAAGTGTATT